GAGAAAAGGGCAGGTTCTTTAGACTGAGGGCTTTGGATTAGGCCAACCAGAGCTAATGTGCATGATGTGAGTCCACTGTAAGTGTGTGAGTTTATGCATTTGGGCCACAGACTAGCAAACTGTGGCTTGCAGCTCTTCTTAAGTGTAATATTTGATGTTGGTGTAAACTAGCGAAAAATCTTTTTTATCTGGTCTTGGGATACTTCCAAATTGAAACCTGTCAGCAGTGTGGGTATTTCAGAGGTCACTAGAACCCATAGTACATCAAGCTATAACGAAGCTACACTGAACTTACATCTAGCTGATATCCAGGTAAGAGGATGCCAATACATGTTTAGATATCAGTGTTTTAAAAAGTATAAGACATATGTATATCTGAATATGATTGTTTCAAGTTTAATATGCTTTCTTTCTAGGAATTTGAAGCTTTCTTTTATATATTACTTAAAAAGCCACTTTGAGCTTGTAGGCGTGAAAAACATAATTTCTTTCCCATTTCACAGTTGGAAAAACTGAATTAAAGAGAACAATGCTAGTAATTATTCATGATTAATAGAGGTGTGCATGTAAATCAGTCTGAATAAGTGTGTGAAATTAGATGTGCTGATGCCAGAGAGTGCTGCTCATGTTTTTTAAAGATGAGTGCTTTCATATAAATCTATGTGAGTTGAGCATACATTTCTGTGTCTTGAGCACATTTGGAAATGGACTTTGTAAATCTGCATAGATATTAAGGTAACTAAGTATTATGTATTGTAAGTATTATAATGCATAAAATATATTAGATGAGTGTTCAAAATTCAGTAGATACATATCTAATGAACATGAATGCATACATGTTATTTATAATGTACTGTATATATGTATATATATATACATATATATATGAGATTATGTATTATATATATGCCTGGTGCAGTGAGAGGTCATTGAAATTTGGGTGTATGTGATGATTATTAAAAAGTGTGGGAGAAGGTGTGTGTTAGTTTCTTTGATTGTGGGGGTTGAGTTAATACATGGAAAAGCCCTTGCAACTCTGTTGGTACATGGGAAGCCCACTGTCTGTGGTAGTCATTGTTGTTGTTATTACCACTGTTGTTAGACAAAGTGAAACTGCTATTGTAATGAAGAGTTGAAAAGAGACATTTTCTCATTGATACCTGGGAGATTATCCTACAAACAATGAATGAAGCTATAGGGATTGTCCAGTCATCTTCACATCATGGGATTTTTTTTAGGATGTTACTTATAGTTTTCCTTCCATCCCAGTGGAGTCTAATTTTAAGAACCCATTTCTGGGAGTGCCATGTGAAGGAGGGTATATTTCCTCCTGCTCGTAATAGGAGCAGGTAGGTAGGATCTGGCTGTTCTGATGTCAGGTCTGCCCATAACAACACCAGTCTCCCTTTGGGAGGAAGCATGCCAGGTGGACTTGAGATTTCTGTAAGCCTGGTTTGTTTGTGGGTTGGATTTTAATTTTTTTAAACTTTAATTTTGGAGGGGTGGAGGTATTTTGTTTTCTGAGAAAGATTTAGACAGCTGTATTAATCATGCAGACCAAGCCATGTGCAATGTGTTTTAGCAATGGAAAAACAGGAACTGAATGGCAAGCAGCTGTGAACAAACCCAGTGCAATGCTTGAACCTGGAAGATAATCTCAGCATTTCCCAAACCCACTTGCCGCACAGGGTTAGTGAATGGAAAGGCTGTTCACTCGGGATGAATAATCAGATGGAGGCAGACAAGTAAGACACAATCTAGGGTTATTAATTTTTTTCATAAAGATGTAGTGATCGGGGAAGGACGGGCGGACTGCCCACAGTGCCTCAAGATCAAGGGGTTCGTCACCTGAGGGTGATAAAGACAAAACAAGGGTGGCACGTCCTTGCCCTTTTCCCTTCTTCCACGTCACTTTAACTGTCTGAGACTGGCTTTGTCATCTCATTTGGAACCTGCTGTCCTTCTAAATGTGAGAGCATCTCTAGGTACACTTTCCTCACGAAGAGCTATGCACAAGGATTCTTGTGAGGAGAAGAGCTAGGTTACCGTTCCCTAGTAATCAGAGGCCTCCGGAAATGATGTGCGCCTAACAAAGTGAGGGAAGTTCCCTCAGACATTTAGAGCGAACTCTTGCCTCATTTTATAATTCAGTGAATTTTCTCACAGCGATACAGTCAGGGGTAGTTATGCAAATATATGTAATTCAGGACTCACTTCAGAATAAATAAACCTAAATTAAAATTAATGGGAAAAACACCTATCAGAAACAGATCAAGGATGGAACACTATTTATTTCACTTATTTATATATTTCTTTTAAAACTTAAGGGGCAGGGAAGAAGCATCCTGATTTTTTTTTTTTTTTGGAAGAATAGGAAAGGACGATTGAAAATTTCTGATTGGCCACAGACAATACACATGATCCTCTGGTATAATTCCAGTATTATTAGTATCACTGCAGAAAATCAAGCAATATGATGAAGGAAACCCAAGAGAAATACATTTGATTTATTGAGCCTTGTTTTTGGTTAATCACAGCTTGAAGGGGTTTAGGACTGCCTTCCTGCTGCGAGCCTGCTGCTTATCCCCAGTCAGCCTGATGAGCCGTGCAGAGTGGGGGGGAGGAGGGGAGACCCTCCAATGAGAGATATTAACAGACAAGCCGCTGATATGAAACATGTATTTCTGTTCTTGGAAAGTAGGAGGGAAAGTTCTCTTTTTTTATGATAGGAGGACAGAAAAAGACCTTTGGGACTCACTCCTACCTTCAAAATACCTTAAGGAAATTAATTGGTTCAAAATCCTTCAGGCCATGTGTCAAGCAACTGCTTATAGACATCTTAACACTCTAAGGCTGAAATGTACGATTCTACATAGCTGATGACAATATACAGTGCTTAATTAAATGAAGGGTGTTTTGTGCTATAGTTGCGACCACAGCAAAGCAGGCATGTTTTTCATAGATATTGCGGTACTTACGGAGCACCATAAAAAAGAGTTAAAGATGCTATATGTTTTATTTTTTTCCCCCAGCAGAAACTGCATTTCCCAGGGGTTGCCATCTTGTTTTGAATGAAGAGGAGAAAAGGGATTTGATTTCTACAAAGTTAAAGTCCTTGTAAGGAGCTGGGAACTTAAGAGAGCACCCTCCTTGTATAGCAACCTCTCACACCAGCTATCCCAAATCTCCATGAACAGCTTTTCAGTTTCTATCAGCAGAAGCCCAAAGTATTAGTAGTAAGATAAATTACATTCTCTAAAACTATTGGATCTAAGGAAGCTATCTACAGTCTATCTACAATGTCAAATCAAACTAGGGTCATTCTCCAATCAACAATTCAGTTTGTGGGAAATATCAAGATCAACAAAATCCCACATGCTCCATCCCTGCTCCAGACTGTTTTTCAGTGTCCAGCAGCTGTGCTTTGTGGACAGTGTCTGGCTGCATTTTGTTCAGTTACATATGTCATAACCCATGATCAGATAAAATATTTCAGCTGGTGATTGCAGAACTGCTCTCACAAAGGATATCTGGAGACATAGTGACACTGTACAGAGCTCATCCTGGAAGGAGTGTGACCTCTTTGAAAACAATACCTACTGGGACAAATGTGTATGTGTGCGTTTGTCCCATCAAGATACTTGCAAGATGGCAACATGATAAAATGGTGTCAATCTCTAAACGAGCACAGGAAGATGAATATCTTAGAATAATTGTAGCATGTCAGAAATTCAAAATGGGATATTTTCTGTGAACACTATTTTTCATGTCGAGTCTAAAAAATAGGCACATTTTAAGTCATTTTTAGTGGCTGGGATAAGAAACAGATTTCATTAATGTTTTAAGGAAGGATTTTATTCAACAGAGTTCTTCTAAACATCATTTGGACTGTACTTAAAATTTAAGAATAACTCTTTTATTAAGCTGTCTAGTTAATCCTTGAAACCTTGCAATCCTCATTGCAAATTAATTAAAATGAGTTTGCATTTATGTGAATACATACATATGCAAAACATTGCATTATTGACACACTGAATCTCTGCACCCAATTCTGGCCTAATTTTTAGTTTGGACAAATGTTAATGAAACATGATCCATCTTTAAGCTTTCTACCTTTAATTCACAGCACATTTTCTTTATAGTGTCTGTAATAATCTTGTTTAATTGGATTTATTTTTTCCACACTAGGCCCCGCATGGCCTATTTTCCATTTCTTCTCGGGTCTTTGAGTGTTATTTGCAAATCAGTTTTCTGGAATTTAATTTCAATGGTAGGTTGGTTTCATTTCAGATTTTTTTTTGTATTGTTTTAATTTTATTTGCCAATTTGCCTTTAGATAGCCTTAAGCTAGAAGGCTGGAACTGCAACTTGCATCTAAATGTGGTGTTGGAGGCAAAATTTAATTCAAGTATGTGGAAAGTTTTATGAAAAGGAATGACTAACTTGTTTTTTCATTTGGGTTTTCTAAAACAGTTATATTTAAAGGAAAAGCCCCCAAACTGACCAAGATTTTGAGAAAAAGTAATGTTCAGGTAACCTGGTGGAGTTCAACCTTCGGCAGTAGATAAATTCATTTAACAAGTAGTACCAATGGCTTCAGATTCAGACTGTATAAGCCTCCCATGGGGAGGGTGGTCAGTTAGAGGATTCTTTATTCAGTATTTTTATGGGCTACAGAATTTAACTTGTGTGTTCCAAATATGTGAGTTCAAAGTCACCTGTAACACATACTAATTGAAGAAAAATATTGCTTTCTGGGTTTAGCTTCGCCTCCCCAATGACTGATCAATTTGAAGTTAAGTTGGGTGACAGATGTGTTATATTCCTAACAATTGATTGGGAGGCAATCAATTGACTTTGTTTTGAAGGTTTAAGGGAAAAAAATGATTTCTCTTGTATGTAAATTTTGTTAATGTGTTTCCTCCTTTGTGGGTTTTGCACATGATAGGTGATGGAGAATGACCCAGCAACAGAACTATAGTGATAAAAATCATACTGACCTTGAATGGGGTGGGGGATTGTGGGTAAAACACGCTCTAAAGGGGAAAAAATAGTAAGCATCATGGAGAATTATAAATATACATTTTTAATCTTTCTCATGTTTAGCTACTCAATTATGAAACCAATGAATGTCTATGCCTATAGGATTCTATCTTCTGCATAGCATTTGTTTGTTCTCCTGTCAAGACTAAAGTATCAGAGAGCTATTAGTAAAATCCAAAGCCTTTTAAAATATTAAGCTAGAGTAGGGGACAACATCTTACTGTGGTAACTCTACAAACAGGATTCTACTCTCTGCTGGAAAAATCCTCTACCAAAATTACAGGTTTTTTTGAGGCTTGGGGGATTGAGATGCTTAAATCAGTAGGATCACATTTAGGTCATGCCATCTAGGTCCAGGTCCTTGTCTCTTTAACTCACAACATCTGGACTATGGTAGCTAAGGACTCCAAACTCTCCCTAAGCCCTCCTGAGGCTGGGAAAGGACATGGGACAAACATCATGATTAACTTTTCCTGCCTATGGTAAGAAATGCCAAGATATAAACAGTATAGTAGGAACAGGAGAAACCCCTTCTTAAGGCTAAGACTCCATTTTAAAAACTAGGGAGTCAGGAAGTAAGATTCCTAACATATTCCTTGGTAATCAGACAAAAACCCACCCTATCTTAAGGCAGGGTAAGAAATCCTAACTGATATATTCCCAGTGCTTGAAGGAAACCACTATTTTGAAGAGGAACTGGATTAATAAATTCCTTGTATTAAGTTTATCTTACAGAAATATCTGGAGGATGGACTGTGGATACTGTCTTTCACCAGAGAGAGACATCATAAGACCACAAGTCAAGCCTATGCCCAACAACCCCCACCCCTGACCTTTGCACCATTCCTGAAAGCCTCAGGACAGAATCCTAAACTTAGGTGAGCCTCCTCTCTGAGGTTGTCTGCACTCCCTTTTCTTCAAGTGTGTACTTTTTAAATAAAGCCTTCTCACTTCTCAACTTACCGTGTTTTGTCTTTGTGTTCTGCCAGTGGTGTCTTTGTCACTTTGCTATTTTATTCTATTTTCCAGACTTAAGCACAAGTCTTCACTCTGTCTCTGTTCTACTCCACATAAGTAGCAAGGGGCTATAAGAGCTCTGATTTGGGCTTGCAAGTTCCCATCACCTGGGTGATCCAGGCAGGATTATAGCTGCACCATCATGCTGTTCAGTAGCCTGCCTGAAAATTTCCTTTTTTTGCCTTTGGGAAGTTCTCAGAACATAAGAGCCCTTTGGGGTGGTAAGGGCTTAGTCCCAATGCCATACAGATCCAAGCGGGCACTGGATGCCAGGTGACCTTGGCTTTAGGAGTTGGCAGCAGATCTGCACTATGCCAAGTAGGAGTTCTATGAACTTCCCTTTCCTTCATCTGCTCTTCCTTGCTCTCTGCTGCCTGCAAGGCAGCTGCCATTTCCTGCTAGTCTCACTTTAATGAATTCATTCCTTACCTACACTCTTCTGACCTGCTCCAGAATTCTTTCTCATTCAGAGTCAAGAACCTTCCCCCGTCCAGGCTGAGGTTTCTCCTAGTGCTGCACCTAGTGCACAGGGAGAGCCCTCCCCAGACACAGCTGCCAGGCAACAACACTATAGTTCATATCAGCTTTAGCCAAGTATCTGGAAAATTCGTTTTGGGAAATACTAATCCAACTTTTCCCTCAGGTTTTTACTTCCATTTACTTCCTCAGATATCAGTGCAAGAGTAATGCCAAGGTAGTAAGTTTTTTGGCATGATATTATTTTATTTTTAGTCTTTTCCTTAATACTACCCTTGTGATGATACAATCTCACCTGAAATTTGATCAACCCATCACATTTGCATGATGACACACTCTGTGGAGTACTAAGAGGTACTTTTTTGTTGAACATTTGGGTTTTAGCTATGTGCCCCTTACATTCCCATCCCCCAGTTACTGACCATAAATTAAACATGCTGACAGAGTTCAGGCTTTAAGGTATCCTCTATTTATCTCATCAAAACCCCAGGTATCATTCTAAATCCTCCTCTGTGTCTCTTTCAGGAAGGCCAAATGGTGCTTAGAGGTAGGTGCATTACTTGCTATCCCAAACTCTACAGTGTAATGTGATTAGCAGGGTTTCCTACATTCCTTCTAGCAGCTTGGTTAGATAAAGGCCAATGATAAATGCAAATCAATAAAAATCCATATCATAAAGAGAAAACATATGTTCATCTTCAGATTTGATCTGCCTGCCATCTTGTACTATCAGCTTAGAAAGAGTAGATTTGCCTGGAATTTGGGCATTCCATAATGTGGATACCAAGAAAACCCAGTCTCCTCGCAGAAGGAGCTTTTCTCTAACTTAGTTCAAAGTTATAGCTTAAATGCCAAAGTTTCCTAAGCACATTAAGTAGGAACAGGTCCATCATAGTACAATGAACAATTGTCATAGTTATAGCAGTGTCAAGTAGAAAAATGGTTTGAACTGCCACTAGTTATTTGGAATTAAGTTTCCAGCTTTGAAAATAAATAGCTAAATCACTTTCAGCATTTATGTAGCAGTTGGAGACAACTGTCCCATATTATACTCTATGTACTGTATTTTATTTTTATTATTACTATTATTATTCAGACTGTTTAAGTGATTCAGCTTAATATTTTCTCATCACACTGTTCACAGCTGGGTAAATGCACTCTGCCCTCATTTTCACAGGACCATTTGTATTACTAAAGCATCTCACCCAGCTTCCTTTCATTGCCTTTTCAACTGTTTTCCAGCTTATCATCATCTTTAACTCTATTCTGCTCATTAGTTATGCTCATTTTCTTATTCCATTCTACTGATTTATTACTCCTTAGATGCTGCCCCATCCCAGCTTTTTATCCTTATTCTTCCACCACCGTTCTGCTGTATTTAATAGTTCAGGCCTGAGTTTGTGAGCTCCTGTAAGAGTGTAAAGTAAATACCACTTAAAATGAAAAATACTCAACTATTGATATGCAAAAGTAGGGAGGGCAGAACCTTGGTGCTCTGTGCTTTGTCTTCTGGCTGCAAATACTGAAGAGGCCAATGTAGCTTAGCAACTGAATGGGAGGTTTTAGGAATGGAACTCTACGGTTGAACCAGTACTTCAGCTGTGGTTCACAGGAAGTCCCCTACCTCTGAGCTTCAGTTTCTGACCTGCTAAATGAGGGGAAGGGGTTGTTACCGGCTAATTCTGCTGAGACTATAGGAGACTCAGTAAACTGGATGTGACCACTTCACAAGAAAACCCTCTGAATTAAAAGCACCTAAATGACAAAAGCTGGAGTTGAGGATAGAGTGCATACATGGAGATAATTTATTAAGTCAGATATGTTTTCCTTTTATTTTTCCAATGGGGATTGCAGATGCTCTGTGTCATTCTGGAAGTCAGCATATTCAATGCCTATTCTTCAAAATAAATGAGTCCCAGTGCCCATCTATTTCTTATTGTATCTACAGAGATCCCCTTATGAGAACTTGGTAGTCAGTCTTTCAAACGACATGTGGGTAGTATTCAAATTACTGTTCAAACTGTTTTATTATGTGACACCCAGAAGTAGCTGGTTAAGAGGCTTTGCCAAGTTTTAACTAGCATCATTAAACACTGGGCCCCTAAGATAATAATTTAAAGTGTTTTCTAAAGAAGTGGGAGAGGCCCTTATTTTAAGGGTTCTCTCCAGTGCTGGGTTGCTTAGGTAGTACTTGAAATTTAATCAAGTTTTACATTGATTGTAGGTTTACAAGTTAATGATCTTTCAAAACTGAAAAGAAAATTTAAAAACCTCCTACACACTGATGTGTGAAGCCATGTACATTTCTTTGTATTTTTATCCTTTTGTACTTGTTGATCTTAAAACACCTTACCAATCCACCCATTTCTCTAAAGTAGAAGGTGCTTGATTAGTAGGACATGTGTGAATGCTCCCTCCTAGGGCCAAAACACTGACCACTAGGCTGGAATATGAAGTTCTCAATCTCAGTGTACCAAATGAGACAGGGACCGTGGGTGTAGTGAGAGTAGGGTGAGGGCCTCCAGAGAAAAAGCAGAACAAGATAATTACAGTCAGAACAATGTAACAATATGTAAAGAAGTCCCTATCAAAACTCTGTGTTATGCATTATGCAAAGTCAGAGTCACACTAATTCTCTAGGGTAAAGATTCGTATATATAACTAGGAATATAGACATTCTTCAGTGAAATTGCTTAAAGCTTAAAAGGCCAGGAGCAACATGGCCTGGAATGTTTGAGTGTTCTGCAGATAAAGAAAAGTATCTCAGCATAAACCATCACTTTACTGTATCAATTACATCATGAAAATGTAAAATTTACCTTATCCTGCTAAAAGGCCCAGTTTATTTTAATTGTAACTATGTGCTATTTTCCCTTCTTTAATCATAATCAAGTAATCTGCAACCCAGGCAAAAGACTACTTTGTTAAGCAATCTCAACTATAAACAACCCAAGCAAACAGACAACAACCCAGCCCACCTTGGGGGCAGGGCAGTCAGTCTTACAAGTCTACACCCCTAACCCTTTACCCTTATTCCTGAAAATCCTCAACCGTGCATAAAACCCCTAGACAATGAATGAGTCAACCATGGGCTCTCCTGTCCCCTCCTCTATTCTCTCACTTTATCTCTAAATAAAAGCCTGTACCTTGCTCTCCTACCCTGAGTGTTTGTGAGGCTCATTCTTCAGCTTCGTGAACAAGAACCCCGGCATCACAAAGATAAGCCAAGGGTCTAACTAATCCAGGGGACCCAGGCTGGTGGGGGTTAATGGAAATGGATGTGGGAGGTGGTAGAGGCAGTGCTCCTGGGTGGGAAGAATTATGACAATATTTAGTCAGTGGAAAGACCTCAAGTGAGAAGATGGTGAAATTAGATGTCTCCTCACCTCCAAACTTTTACAAAAGCTGCATCTCTTAACATTTCCCCCACATGCACAAATCAAGATAATACGTTGGTCTAGAGCCTCTGGGAACAGATCACCTGAATTTAAATCCCAGGGGCCTTACTCAGTTACACTATTTCCTTAACCTCTTTGGGTAATGGAGAATATGACAACGAAGAGGGCTGTCCTCATGATTAAATGAGATCATGTATGCCAAGTGTTCAGCACAAACCCAGAGTACCTTGTCAGCATTCAGTAAGAAGCAATGACATTAAAACCATTACCCTATTCTTCCTCCCTGTCCATTGCTGCTTTAAAAGTAACTCAATGCTAAGCACCAAAACAAGATAGGTTTCCTCTGTGGGTGCACCACAGTCACCAGTGTGGAAATACGGGTCTGTTATGTTACATGTACCGCCAACGGAGTTTCTTCTTGGCACAGCCTGAGGTCCAAGTCATCATCCTTGTGCTGCGCAGAGGACGGTGCTCGATCTGCCTATACACAGTGTGCCTCTGGATGAATGTATTCAGAAAAATTACATGACGTAACGCCCTGCCCAGGGTGAAGAGAGGGTAAAAGGCATTACTTGGATACAGACTGAGGTGCTATGTATCCTTGACAAACAGAAGGCTAGAATGTGTGGAGAGCAAGACAAATGGGAAAGGAATGCTTCCATGGGCTTAGGAAAACATGGTTCTGAATACTTATTTAACCCCTTTGGAGATCAATATTTGAATAGAAAGTGGAGAAGTGTAGGTATGTTCGTGGTGGGGCCCCAGAGGTCCCAGCGACCGCAAATTGATGCTGCATAAAGAGTTGGCACATGTCGCTGTGTGGACGCCAGGAACGTGCAGACGCGCAGTGAAGATGGATAACGGTGAACTCTCCGGGGCTCAGGCTCACGGCCTCTGCTCTGTCGCTGCAGCTCACCGGTGGCCTCCTCGGCCCGGCCTGGGTGGGTCAGCGGGGCGCCCCACTGCCCACATGGCACTCTCCGTCTGGGCACCGCTGCTTCCCGCCCCCAGCATCTGAACCCTGCTGACCCTGCTCCGAGAAGTACAGGCACTAAATGTGCTCCTTCTTCCCGTTAAACCATCCACTTTGAATCTAAGTGATGGGCAGTCTGCTCACATGGGGACTTTCTTCTTCCTGCTCTCCTTCCCCGCTGCCCATCACCTTCATCCCTTCTCCCTCTCACTCCTTCCTTCCTTCTCTCTCTGCTTCCTGCTCGTGTGAAACAATGACCCAGCTCTGAAGCCTGGGACAACACACCTCCCAAACCTGAGTGGTGGTGGGTGGGTGCGGTGGAGGGGCCACTCTTGTGACATTAAGCAGAAATTTCCATACTGAGGCCTTGAAATAAGGCCTAAGAAATAGGGCAGTGGATTCACTAATTTTGGCTATTTTAATGGCTCCTTTTCACCTTGGAGCCTAATAATCTTTTGCATTCTGTTCATCCGTAAGTATTTCACCTTGTCACTTTCTCCTAAGGTGGGAAACATCATTCTGACCCGAACTCGGGGGCATGTGCTGCCGGTGGCAGAGCCTGTGGGGTCTCTTCTGCAGATGGTGGGGTGGGACCCCAGGAAGATGCTCCACATGAATCACACCCTGTGAACTGCTCAAATCTATAACTGAGGGTGGCTTCTGCAAAGTTATCCAGGGTAATCTGATTATGATAAACTTGCCCATTACCTTGATTCTCAGCTTACAGATAAATTCTGAAGACTCTTGATGTTTCTTAATTTTACTTTAAATTAAATTAATTTAAATTAAACTGAGTCCTTTAAATCGACTTCCGTGAATGCGGCAGTGGTATTACAGGGTTTGAGATGACCTACTGTCAGCACCAGCCAACGTGCAGCGTCTCCCGTCTTTGAATTAGCCTGTGTTCCCTGTCCTCCTCAATTCTTCCATCCCTCTGTCCTCCTTCTCCTTAGTCCATAGATATCAATTTACTTATTTGAAATGTATCATTAGCACATTTCTTCTGGGGGGGATAGGAAGAAAAGATACTTTAAGGTAAATTCATATTGCTCACTTTCTCTAACGAATCCAATCGTCCATTTTCTCTTTTCCAATCGCTATAAAACCTTTTGTTAACCAGGTCGCCTTAGATTTGTCTGACTCTCAAATCAATAGTTGAGGCTCTTCCTGTCTCTCCCCCACCCCAATTTATGGAATCCCTAAAGGCAGGGGGGAAATAGGTAACTGTTTCTTAATAAATATCCTCTCAAGTATCTTTGAGATATTGATGTCTCTAAGCTGAAGCAAAGAACACCCATGTTTGGTTTTGTAGACAAGTAAACAGGGATATGAATTTTAAACTTCAAGCATTTGTACAGGTGTATCCCCTCAAACTGTTACAAACTGATGTCAAAGGGAGCTACGAATGAGAAACTCAAGACCCATTTTAGAATAGTTGCGGTGCTAGAGTTGGATCTTCAGGAGTTTTAAAATGGCTTTAATACTGTATTTTAAGAGATCTCTCACTTAAGTGGACTTTTCTCCTGTTTTTTTTTTTTTTCTGTCTTGAATGCTCATCTGAACTGAATAAAGCAAGACGGAGACATCTCTCTGGCTGAGAATATTTCTAGATTTTTCCAATCGAACCTGGGCAGAAAAAAAACCTCTTGGGGGCTTGTGCCTCCAAAATGACAGTAAATTCTTTGGACTCTGTCCTTTAGTACAGATGAAATTTCTATCCCAGCATGTGCTAACTTTTTTGCTTGATTTACTTATTCTGATAACCATTTCTCTATTACAAATGTTATTACTTTCCTCCCATCTCACCCATCAAACTTCTGTTTCTCAGGTGGCATTTGCTTCTAGGCTTACAGCCTCTGGGCCAACAAGGCAGGTGGTCACATATCTGTAACAATGGCTAAATTAGAGCAAGGCTCCGAGGTGGCCTCTCAGACTAACACCAGTAACTTAAAACACCTCTTTAGCCTGCCTTCAGGGTCTTCTTCGGTTTTCAGAAATGTTCCTTGCTCCCACCATTCCACCTCTCTTCCAAAAGTATATCAAGATGAGTAACACTTCCTGCCGTCCTATGGAAACCTTTCTGTGACTATTTTTCCTACTTTAGATTTTATATTATGTTTTAATCATTTATTCCACCTCCTCTTGTGTTTTTAAAAATACGCTTTCTTTTTCCAGCTTCTCCCTTTTCCCAGCACCTTATCCCGTCTTACTATTTCTTTCTCAATCATTCTTACCACTTCCATTTTTTAAACTGTCATGCATTTTCTAGGATCTTACCTCACCTCTGGCCCTTAAGGAGACCATCACCAAAGAGATCTTTGTTCTCCAAATATTTAACAGTTTAACCAACCAGAAAAAAACAAAACTGTGCAAACAAACGAAACAAGGCAGCTATCAAAAGTAAGGGAGGGAATGGTGAGGAAAGTTACTCCATTTGTATATCTCACCTTATGCATAGAAATTGAGAACGTGTGGTTTTGTTTCAGTGACTATATTCTGATTTTTGTGTAAGTTTTTTATGTTTACTAGGCAAGGGAATGATTTCCAAGTTTCCCAAAGGAGAACTCAATCGACTTACTTCCCCCGAGCTGGGCCCTGCTGTGGCATACTTACTGAAAAGGACTAGGCTGGCGTTGGTGACACCCAGGTTGTTGGCAGCCACACAGGTATAGTTTCCATAATGCTCCTCGGTGACGTTGGTCACTGTCAGGGAGGACTGGCCCTCCGTGCTCTTAATCTCAAGGCCATTGGCACTATTTATCCTAAGAGTTCAAAAACAGAAGAGTAAAAAGGAACGCTGATGAGGATCTGACATAGCAAGCCCTTTTTCATCATTATATTGGGGGAATGGAAGTAGTAAGATAGAGGTGGTTGTTCCCTGCTCAATCCCTCCTGTTAATTGTGCAGTGCCACGTCACCAAATCGCTGTCAGTCACAGAGACAGAACTGAGGAGTAGATGTGTTTCGCTGGGCTTTGGTTTCTGCTATATGCAAGACAGACCTGCAGGTGGGAACTACCCACTGAACCACCTACCTCCTACCTCTTGGCATGCAACCTGACTGCTTTGAGGCTCCAGCTTAAGAGCTGCAGGCCCCAGGGTCCTTGAAAACAGAGGGCTGGAAAAGGAAGAGAGTAATGGTAGAGTCCTACGTATTTATGGTTTTGCCATGAGGGCTTCTAGCGCCCCAAGGACCACGTAGTGAAGCTGTGGGGACATGGCTGGTTTGGCACATACCTGGTGTCATCCCGGTACCACTCAAAGTCAGGAGCAGGCACTGCTGAGGCCTCACATTTTAGTGAAGCTTTTCGCCCTGTGGTGGCTTCGTTGCTCTTGGATTCTGTGATAGTGGGAGGATCTGTAGGAAGGATAGGCCCGCAGTTTACAAAGGGTACTCCAGAATTTCCAGGCAAAAAGAAATAGGACAGTCTGATTGGAGAGGGGCAGGAAAGAAATTGTTGTCTTAAAGCTCCATTTACATGAATTATGTGATCCGTTGAATAGGACTGATCACTATAAAGCTCAGTAAAAATAGGAGATGATTAATGAAACCATATATTTGGTTTACTTAAATGGGACATGTAACCAAGCTTTATGGAAATGGCTCTAGGATTTCTCTCCCCCTCCTCCAATACACCATCATTTATTCCATCTGGATTGTAATATTTGCAGAGTCTCTTCCTTTTCATAAACTAAGTGGTGATACTAAAGGACTCAGGCTTTAAATGTATATAATTTGAGCATTTTTATTTCTCATCACCATCATTATCATCATTACTATTGTTATGGTTTGAGATGGCAGTAAGAGTCTGATGAAAATAATAGAGGTCTGAAGTTCTCCCAGCCTAAGCTTAGCTTGATATTGTGAGAATTCAGAAAAACAAACTAGTATTAGATGATTACCTTTTTTCCTCCTATGTGTTCCTTTATTGTTATGACCCCAGGAAATCTTGCCTTTATGGATTAAGTCTATCCTGGTGCACAGAAGCCTCCCTGGTATATGTCTTCTACTCTCTGGCAGTGGTAAACTTGACTATTTCTGCTTAGGAGTGGGCCAACAAAACTGTAAGAGGCTTCAAATGAGCCCAGAAATGCATCTGAAATTCTAATATGCCATGATTCTTTCAAATAGTCCTTAGAGGCTGGAACAAGTGGTTACAGGTTCACATCACTGAGTGAGGATGGTAGACTCGAGCTCCTGGCTTGATGTTGCTGTGTTTGTGGGAGTGGTGTTGGAGGGGGAGGTATTTGTACAGGGACAGGGTTGCTGAATAGAGGTTAGGAGCTTGGGTTTAAAATTTGATAGACCTGAGCTCAAATCCAGGCTCTGTACCTCACTGTCCTTCCTCATTAGAGAGCTCAGTACTTTATCTAGTCACATTGTTTCAATTTCTTCATCTATGAAATATTGGAACCAGAGGCAGGGAGATCCACTTAGAGATTACTGAAGAAATCCAGAGATAGCTTGCACTCAGTTTGTGAAAAAGTAGCCACAAGGGATTGGACAGATTTGAGATGGAGTATGAAACCTCAGGTTGACAAGATTGGATGTGGAGGCTGAGGGAAAGAAAGAGGGGCAGCAAAGGCAACCCTCAAGTTTCTGACTTGGGTATCTAAGTGATGCTATCCACTGAGGTTAGATACATAAGCAGAGAAATAGATGGCCGGTAATTTCCTGTCCTTCCCTCTTTATTAGGTTCTTTAGCTGCCAGCAAGTCCACAGTCTGTAGCATGTTGGCTGGAAAGGTAATCTTGCTGGTGATCATACTGTATTGTTCAATTTCTCAAAATGTAAAGTGAGTTTTAACCAGTGTTTGTGAGTTTCTGGAGCCATGTGGCTATGAGCGACGAATCCTTAATGGTGAACGCTGCTTTGTTAACCCAGCCCCAATAATCTGTGCCAGACCCCACGTTTTCCATCATCGTCCCCTTTGGTGCTCATAGCTAAGGCACCTGAACATAATCATGCCATGGTGGACACCTTCCAGCCCTTCCACCACTGGGCTGGGAGTGCACGCCCCAGTTGTGCAGTTTTATGGGAAAGCTCTTGCTCATTCAGTTAGTTTCTTTCTCTGTGGCAGGAGCTTATGTAGTATGCCTCCTTGCTCTGGGACCAGGGGCAAGGAATGATCTTTCTGCCTGAAAAACTGGAGAAGAATAGATGAGGTTTGTTTAGCTCATCTCATCCCCCTTCTTTCTTTTGGGACATGCTTCTGGTGGGGGGCAGAGGCAATTATTACAAATTGCTTCTCCACCAGTGTCTTACTTGGGCGCTCATCTGGGCAGGCCTACCACTGTCTGGGGTGGCCATGACTGGGAGGTCAATCGACCATACTACTATACCTCTGACCATCTTGATCTCTAACAATGGGGGCAATTGGGCTTCCCATACATCTCCTTCAGTCCTCAATTTGTTCAAAACCTGAATAGCTAAGTATAAGTAGTAAGCTATTTCTTAGCTCCTCAGAGATGCTAGCATAGGAAAGGTAGGAGTGAACTAGGGTTGAACACATTTAAGTGCATTAATCTTGGGCCAGGATGACACTGGTAAATTACAAAGGCCAAACCCTTGCTTCTCTCCTTGAATATCTGTTTCTTGTACCAGGGAAAATTCACAGATAATCATAAATGTATGGAGAACTCATTGTTTCTAGTGTTTCTCAACTGACACAGTGGTGCAGGTCTGTTTGCTCCTGGCTTATTGGAATGAACATTTCAAAATTCATTTGTAATAAATTCTGCATAGGTGAGGCTAAGAAAAATTATTACAAATCATGTTGTGGCACGCCTGGTGGAGTTAAAATAATCATGTCCTTGCTTAAAATATGGTTATAATAGAAATGTGGCTTGATAAAAATGCTGCTCAGAGGTCCATTGTTATTCTTTACATGACTTGGGAATAGCTTATTCTCTTCCAGTTTTTAGTACTTCAAAATTCTGGGTTCTAAAAATATTAATAAGGGCTTTCTTTTTCTTATATCACCAATAACAAGACTCTTACAATTAGAATGAATAGGATAATGATGACAGTGGCCTAGCAAACACAGTACCATTCATTTAATCATCCTAGTATTTGGAATAATAGTATAAAATAACAATATTTTTAACAAAGGATTCAATTTATAGGTATTTACCATGTATCAGTACTCTACCAGGCTTTAGATATTCTTTTCACCCAAATAATAGCCCTAAGAGGTGATGATTATTAACCCCATGTATGAATGAGAAGACAGATTTACAGAGGGTTATTAACGCAGCCAGCATTTGATGGAATCTGGATTTGAACCCATGTTCTGAAGCCCATGCTCTGAACCTCTGTGCCTCCATTTGAATGAATTCCTTTAGAGATAAATGAATTATAAATAAGGAAAAATACCACTGAGGGGGGCATGCTGGTAGCTTGACAGGCAAATGTTAATATTTCTGCCATTGCAGGGTACCAGAAATGGTACAACATGCAGAAACATAGTGGAAATAAACCTGCATTAGAAATCAGGAGATGTGGGCTCAATTTCTGCCTGTGCCACTTAGGTTGCTGTCTCTTTGGGGTGATGTGTTGACCTCCTGAAGCCCTTCACCTATGCATGTAGATGTTGATACCTGCCTGCCTGTCTCACAGGTCTGACATAAAGATTAAATGAAATCACATATATGAAAGCACACTTAATACCTGCAATGATTACATTTGTTATCTCTATTACTACTCTTCACATAGTATCTTAAGGAAAGAGGGCTTTGGAGTTAGACCTAGGTTGGAGTCCTAACCTTACCACTCTGATGGTTCTCTGATTTTGTGGCAGAGAATGCTTATATTTTCTGTGCTTTGTTTCTGTCCTCTCTGTATGGGGAGGATTTGATCTTCTCCCAGGGCTAGTGGGCAGTGGTGGACCATTGGGGTAGGAGCAGAGAATGTAGGCAATAAGAAAGGCACTGTATTTAGAGAGTTTAGAATTAATAATAAAAATGACTAACAGTTGTCTTTTTTAAAAAAATAACCATGTATAAGCAATACTAGACCAAACTTACTAAACAATGTCAGTGATAAAGTAAATGCTCTTCCTTACTGGGGCAAGCCAGGCCCAATACACCTCCCTCTTGGTTGGCCACTGTCAGTGTGATGATTACAGCAAATCATACATTTGTAGCATAGTCTTGGTACTCTGAAGGTATTCAGAAAATTATGGTTCTTTTTCACATAGCAAAGTTATGGTAGAGAATTGCAGCACCTGGATTCTTAGTGAATATTTCCTTTGAAGATCCCATAATAGATTCATCAATTAGGACATGTCTTTACTGACACCATCCCAAATACAAGAATAAAGTAAAGACTGGCATGAAGAATGGATAGGTGTAGCTATGAATAGCTAGATAAAGGTAGCCAGTGTGGTTCTATATTTTCCTAAAGTTTCATCACTGGGGGATTTTTGAATCAGAGCACTGAAGGATCCAGTTAAAATACATTTATATTATCTGGAAACAACAGGTGCTCCAGTCCCAACTGTGGATTCTGTGGTAGTTAATCTCTGCTTCTTCTAAATAAATGGCTATCAAATATAAGGGTGAGATTTAGAAATGCCAGTGTTCCACGTCCCCCAATATCTATGTTGGGTTGGTTAGCTCTGGACACAAGAGTGGAGGCAGAGTTGAGTTCAAAGGGAGACAATAATAGGAAAAACAAGTCATAAAGAGTGACAAAGTGACCCTAGTTGGAGAGGTACCTGTAGGAAGGCAGAGGTGGGAATATTAGATGGTTAGAGGGGTGGGATAGGGCTTTAGAGCTGGTGTCAGCTTTTGAGAGGAATTTTCCCAGGAATAGGAAGAGAGTCCAGTGGAAGAGAGTCCAGATAAGATCAATAGTCTGTATTTATTGAATCCTCTACACTAGATATGACCCTTGGGACACTGAGCACTATGGGACACTCCCATAAGCAGCTATTTTTAGGGCACTGTGAGAACTGAAATTGAAGACTTAGAACCTGTAATGAAAGGACATTTGTCCCTAGGGCTGGTATCTGGAAAAAATTAGCCACTATCCTGTAAAATACAAGAAACCAGAAGTCATGTCCATTGTACAAAATTTTACTAAGCTTATTTAGTTGAACAGATTTCAGGTCAATAACTTAACTGCTGTAAATGTCGGGACCTCCTACCACTTAGAAAATAGATTTTGCATGTCAAATGGCTATTTGTGATGCTGTAAACCAGCTGTGGAGAAGAATTTTCTAAGAGAATAAAAAGGAGAGACGGTAGAATCCAGCTTGTGAACTAAACAGGAGAAACTGTTATGTCTCTTTTGTTTACTGCTCTAGCTTCTCAGTGCCCTGCAACAAATATCTGTTGGCAACTGAGTAAATGAATCAATGAAATGCTGGTAGGAGAAAATTACTAGCACTGGGATTTTGTTTAGTGGTACCCAGGGTCTGTTTTATTACAATGATCTGCTCGGCAATTAATTTTCTTCACCATCCTGATCCCCTGACCTAATTTCAAGCCCTGTGTTTTGAAAAGGAGGTGGAATCAGTTTAAATAATGGGACAGTTTTTTATTGCAGGCAGGATTAGATGAAGTAACAAAAGTGATACTGGATATTTCTCAGTATGCTTGAGTTTGCTAGCCAGACTTCATCTACTTAATACAACTACATTTAAGTAGGATGGATTGTTTGAACAGGACAATAAGGGCAATAGCTAGTTGTTTTAATACACTGTAAACACAGCTTATGAAGTGTTGATAAAAGGGTGAATCCAAAGAACTTGATTATTAGAATATACTTCTTGGTTTGTGACCAGTATCATTTGCAAAGTTTACAGATATGTTAAGAGGTCAGAGTTATCTGTGAGTTTTACACCTACATTCAGAAACATTTCCTGAGCAATTTTTATAAGGTCAGGAATGTACTAGGCGCTGCTGATTAGGACATATGGGATATTCGACTCAGGCTGTTACAGATTTCCATGTAATTTGTTACAAGGTGTCTTTTTTAGAATCTCGAGGTTCTATCCATATTCTTCTGTGGTTTGCTCATTACTAGGAAAAGCTCACATTTTTATAAAAGCCTTCTCTTGAATATTATCAGTATTTTCTTCTGTTGTAAGTTACACTTTGGGGACAGTCAAGATGGCGCAATGTCAGACTAATTGTGCTAATAATAATAGGGCTCAGGCGGCTGGCTTTGATCTCAGGAACCATCTGCAATGCAGACCACTTTGATGTTTCACACAATGGAAGCATAAATATTTTCTATGTACTCCATGATCGAACTTTCAGAAATCTAATTAAGATGAAGGTCAATTAAGAGAAAATGAAATCTTAACTCCTAAAGTCAGAGACAAGGTGCAAGATGATGGCATGGCTGTGTGTACATAAAAGAAGCTAAGTAACCTAATTATAAACTTATAAACACCCAGAAAAATTGCCTTTCATGTGAAGAAAAGGTCCTAAAGCATTTTATAACATTGAGATCATTAGTGTGTCTTTGAAACACACCCAGTACTGGAAAAGAATAATAATACTGACATTTCAAAACTCTAGTACAAAAAAATCTCAGATAGCTATGGGATAAAAGCACTTCAATGCTCATCAAACATACCCCTTGCTTCTTGGAAATGAGTGTCAGTAATGTCTACGGCAGAGCCATATCTACCATATTCTTCTAAGTATGGTGGGAAGGAGATTCCACTGTCTGCTTCAGAAGGTACAAGGCTGGAGTGAGGTCACAGGATAGACTGCGTGACCTTAGGCCAGTGTCCTCAACTCTCTATGCTTCCGTGTCCAATTATTTAAGTTGGACTAATGATGTTTATAAGTTTAGTGTGAGGAGTAAATGACAAACGTAAATGTAAAAGTGTAAAATGATGCATATTGTGGTACTGAGAACTGAAAACTCCTCTTCCTCTTTCTCCCAAGAACATGGGCTCCAGAATCAAATGGGCCAACGTCTGAATGTGTTTCCTCACTCTCGCTTTCTGTGCCGCTTTGGAAAGTCAATTTTACCTCTTGGGTTCAGTGTCTCAAACTCTAAAATGGAGTCAGTTATATCTGCTTTGCCCTGGAATTCACACAGAGTCACTGGTATATAAGCAGCTGCCGGGCTGGCTGAAGATAACATAAAATAACTCCATATGGTCTAAAGCTTATTTTCAGATATGGATAAGATGTCTATACGCCTCTGTGCATGTGTGTTATGTCTTACATCTGCATACATGTGTGCATACATATGTGGGTGTGTGTATGCTAAATACATAGGGAAGACTTGTCAGGACACACCTTTGTCTCTGTCACTAGCCACAGTTGTGTGTGTGGGAACTTGAATCTGAATGATGTGATAAGTCAGTCCTAACTGAAGAGGATAAACGAATTCTCTTTATTCCTTTTCAGGGTGACACACTTCATATGGATCCGCCCCCGACCCCTTCTCTTTGAACTACATCTAAGGATCCTTTCATCAGAGAAGTTCAAAGTATGCCCACTTACCTATGCATTTAGTGAAATCTTCTTTTGTAACTCCCTTACTTCTTTGGGAAATACGTAACCAAAGTTAACTCATCAGGTATCCCTGCTAGCCATCGAGGACACATGGTGTCTGACCACAGTGGCTTGAATTTGTTCCTAAGGCCATTTAGTTAAAGGATAAAAGGCCATTTTAGTTAGAGGATAAAATATGATTTGGGGTTGTTTCCTTCTGACAAACAATGCATTAAGGTGAAAATTCCAGTGAAAACAGATATGAATTGTTGCTTTTCCCCAAGTGTGATGACCTTGGTCCCCACGAAGAACAGAATAGTGATTGTCAGAAATGCTGGTGCTCTCTGGTCATGTTTTCTTAATTCTGCCATCTGAGTAAAAGATGGAGTGTATTGTTAAATGCATTAGGAGTTATATTTAGAGTTGGTAGAGTTGATTTATCAAATTTCAAGGCCAACTCCTGCCCTTGGATATATCCAGTGTATAAATGTGCATCCCTGACCAGAGGAACATCTGCTTGAAATGCAATGTTCTTTTGCTAATGGGATCGTCAGAGCTCGTTGGAGGTGGAGGCGGGCCCCGAGCACAGAACACCTGCTGGCTCCTGCCATACTCACAGTTCACAGTGACCTTGACTTGTTTGACATCCGCCGAGGAGACCTCATTGGCAGCTTTACACTCGTATTTGCCAGACTGCTCCCTGGTGATGCCGAGGATCTCCAGATATTCTTCTTCTCCTTCAAATTCTCTTCCTGAAAAAACAGGGGTATACATGATTGTTTTACATAGTTTAAAATATGCAGCTCTTTTTCTTTCTAGAAGCCATAAATCTACATGGCTTTTCAGTATTTTGACAATGTGTTTGTCTGAGGTCAGATTCCACAGAAGCAGACCTGGAGACAGAAAGTCACGTGAAAGTGACTAAGGAGGAGGGGTTCTCAGGAAAAATTGGTAGGGGAGTGAGAAAACAGGAACTGGAAGAGGAAGAAGCCAGTCAAGGGGGTGGCGCCAGGCCCTGTCCCAGGGAGGGTAGCCCTGCTCCATTCTCAGTGAGCTCCGGGAACAAGTGCCCCTGCAAAGTCATCCTGACCAACAGTCAAGAAGCTCGAGTGGCTGTATAGCCACACCCATCAGTCACTGGCTAAAGCGGGAGCTGGGGGGAGGTGCACACAAGATGCAAAGGGCTAGGAGGGGCGTCGCTGAAGCACTGACATCATCGATGGCACAAGGCTGCCAAGCCCTCCTTCAACCAAAGTTGTTATTAGGAGAAGTGATTTCCTTGAGAAACTGTCACTCTTCTCCTCCAGATGATGTGGCATTCTAGTCACAGAAGTCGTGTCCTAAACTCGGTCCTGCCATTGCAGTTGTCTTATTCGGTGTCGAGTGGCATCACCCTTGATCTCAGGCCATGGACCAGCTCCCTGAGACTGTGCTGCCAACAGGCAACTTGTGGCAGACTCTGTCCCATGGGGGGAGGGCCCGGGACCTAAATGTCACTGGCTTAACCAGTTGGGATTCGGGGTCCGTAGTGTCCCTTTTAGGAAAGTTCCATAAATTTGGATGTGCCCATTTAGTAAAGAATTCTCAAGATGGGCCAGCTTGTTTAATTCCCCTTGTGTGGAGTATAGATGATTAGAGTGGGGGAGGGGAGGGGAGAGAAAGAAAGCGAGAGAGAGAAGAGAGAGAGAGAGAGAGAGAGAGAGAGAGAGAAGAGAAAGTGGATGGGGAAGGGAAAGGAAAACGAGAAAGTGAAGGTGAAAAGAACAGGGAGTTGACAGAGGAAGAGCTTGTCCAGAAAGGCCTGTAGACTTCTAGCTAGGCCTAGCTTAGAATGAACCCCCCTCACCCCAAATTATAAAACTTTACTGCTGCTGGGTTAAGATTGAGCAGCTGGGGATGGTACTAAAGGGCACAGCCTGCCACCCTGAAGAAATCTTGCTCCTGGTCATCCTACACTAAATGGTACCAATTAATAGCTCTGCTCAAATACCACAAGCTGTTTTCCCTTTCTGGAAATTCCCTGATGGCCCAATCAACATAACAGCCAGCCAGCACAGAGACAAATTCACTGTCTAAATATGTCAGCCAAGCCTGTTAACTAGGCTCCCAAAAGAACACAGGCCTCTTTGATAACATCCTATAACCTAACTGTTAGGAACACTCCAAGCTTCAAATCTTCTGTCAACTGTCACTATTACTAGTTTTGAGGAAAGTTTACAATCCCAACAACAAAAATGCAGTAGTATAAAATTATTTAGTTCTGGAATCCTGCACGTAACCTAGCACATGCTTCTGCTGAAAATGTTTTCAAATTAGTCTATAAGTATGTAGTGACATATTATTTATAAAGCATTAATTTTTTTCTCCTGCGTTTTCTTCTCTATAGTCAGGCAAGTAGTCAGACCTGACTTTACATGTCCCCAAAGTAGAGCATAGTAGGAAAAAAAACAGAAATCTTCAAAAGGGTAATAGTCCATTTTATTGGATTAGCTGGGAAGAATCTAGGCTTGGAGGAAATAAAAGATTTTTTTCTGCCTACTTGCAACTATGGACTGAGAGTCATGCCAACTAATTGACACTAAGAATCTTCTAGCTAAATATAAATACTCTGAAGACGAATGGCAACTCTGACAATCGCAGGCCAAAGCAGGTGTAAGCTTATTAAAAATCTGGAGTGCAGCAGTGGGACTGACAGGAAGGCAGTCTTATTGAGTTTGAGATTAATGGTGGGTTGTAATGAAAAAATAGTTAAAGATGATTTCAGAATAGTTTAGGGTTTCTGCCCTGCCCTGCCTCTGCAGACATCACCATTCTTCTTTTTTTTTTATTTTGGTATCATTAATGTACAATTACATGAGCAGCGTTATGGTTACTAGACTCCCCCCATCATCAAGTCCCCACCACATGCCCCATTACAGTCACTGTCCATCAGTGTAGTAAGATGCTATAGAACCATTACTTCTCTTCTGTGTATATACTGCCTTTCCCGTGTCTCCCCCACTACATTATGTGTGCTAATCATAATGCCCCCTTTCCCCCTTATCCCTCCGTTCCCACCCATACATCACCATTATTCCTAAGTAGGTAGAGTTGTCAGTAGAAGAGGGAACAAGTATAGTCTTCCTAGAGATGCCGCCCAGTACTGAATTCTTTTCAAGTCCCATAAAATATCTTATAATGGTAACAGATCTCTACTTGTACTTTGAATCTCTTTAAAGATATAAAGCAGTTCCAGGAGAGGGAAATATGATTTTTAACAGCATCAAGTGAGGCTTTACCAGTTCAGGAAGATGGCATCTATGAGAGTAAATGTCAAGATGAACTAGAGAAAGAAAATAAAGTGATGCCTCCTGGGTTTGGGACCTGGGACGCCAACGTAGGCATTAGTAATCTCATTTTTTTCCTGATGAGCAGATAACAGAACAGATTCTCATGAGAAGAATTTTCAACCCCACACCTCTAAGAAGGCTTCCCCCAGTACCACCTGAGGATGATGGGGAGTCTTCCTCTAGGGGCCTCGCCCACAGGGAAGGTCGTTTTGCTCCTCCCAGGCCGGCTCTCCTCCACCTGGCTGCCTGTCTCCAGCACACAGTGCGTGTGCTTTCTCACTAGGTGGAGTCTAACCAAGGAGGAAACCAATACAGGTGAGAAAACCAAGGTGGTCTTCCCTCATTCAACCAGAGTGACCAGAGTTTAAAATGTTAAACCACACCTTTGGGCTCTTCTTCTTCTTCCTGACTCTTTGGATTCTTCAGCTGAAACTCTTACAATCACTGGCACATCTTGCTAAGCTACTTTTCTTGCACCCACAGGAGACTTTGCTCACAGAAAATTCTCCTCCTGCTTCACCTGAGCTCTTCTGTTGCTAGAAAGCCAAAGCAGCAGATTGTTAATTTCTTGGGGGACCCTGCTTTACTCGCGATATCCCCATGGACCAGCACAGGGTTTGGCCTAGTTACTCAATGTTTGTAGAGTCAGCTGGCCTGAATTACGAAACACAAGTAGAAACAACAGTCGGATCCGACAAATCATATAGGTTAAGGGAATGAAGTACTAAAAGGTGGGCGAGGTCTTCCTATAAGCAAAGCTGGTATAGGACTCCGTATCCCCTTTAACAATCCTAACAGAGTAAGTACCCTTTTACTGGGGAGGGAAGGGTGTGCTGAGTACTCTGCTGTGCTCTGAGGCTGTATCTGCCCGCGGAGTCACTGCTTCAAGTAAAGGTATGGAGACACCCATGGGGGCCCCAGCCGAAACAGGCCCCGTGCCATTCCTTTCATACGATCTGCGGCAGTTGTCTTGTTTCAAGGCACTAGTACACCATGCTCATCTTGAGTCCCAGGATCCTGCAATGCTCTCAGATTCTCTTGCTTCTTTCTCTCTGCCCCAGTGTGTCTTTTCCCATCAGGCACCTTTTCTATTCCTCTTTCATATTTATCTGTCCAGCTGCTCTCAGCCCAAAGGTCCTGTTATCATTTTCATTTACTATCTCAAACTTAAGAAGACTCTCAGGCCAGAATGTGACCCTTAACCTGTGACCCTTCAGTTCTCTGGGGGAATACAGCCCTATGGATACAGTGTGGGTCCTTTCTCTTGTTCCCATCTCTAATTTTCTGCCTTTGTATAAATGTTTACTTGAAACACGAATTTTAATATTCTGGTATTTTAAATATCTTCAACCTATTTCCGCAAGCTTGCTCACGTCGCCGACTGTTGTATTTATTCTGGGATCTGGTGTTTAGTTTAAGAGTCCCTTTGCTTAATGTGCTTTTGTGTCTCCTGGCAATATTCAACAGCCAGGCTAAATAGCTTCTCGTCCTCCTCGGTGTATGCATCTTTCAAACTTTTGCACATCATTAGCATATCCCTTCTTGGTCACTGTTTACTAAAGTTGTACATATTAGTTCTTTTAATATTTCTTCATAAGTCAGAAAGAAGGGCCTAAAGCTAATGGCAAGAGGAAAGCGTTCTCCTCTGTGTTCCCTAAAACAGACGCAAATCAGCCAGGAATAACTTCAATTAACGTCTTCCAGGTGCTGCCTTCTGAGTAAGTGCCTTGGTGAAACTTGCAGAGTTCACATCCAAAATATTGATTTATTTAGATTTCCAAGGACAACCAAGCATTTGGAAGCAAGCAGTCCTTTGAAATTAAATACATTTTCATGGTGATTTTCTTTCTTTTTCCCTTTCTCTCCTCTTTCTCTTTCTCCCCTAACTTTCCTCACCACCACATGCCAACCTATAAACAGCTACTTATTGACATGCAACCATTCACTCTTTTAGGAAACAGCATACATAGTCACTTAACACTGAAATATTGGCTCATTAAATAGAGCAGGCTTATTCTTGAAAATTCCCCAGGATATAACAATCAGTGCCCTATTTGGAATTAAAAGAGAAAGACAACATTATCCTAATAATCATTAGAATATCTGTCATTCTTTTCTTTTATTTGAGATACAAGGAATAAAATTTAGGAAACATCTTAAATTTGGGTGTTTTATGACTTTAAAAAGGAGGAATTCCAAGAATTCTTATGTACTAGGATATGGATGATTTTTTTTTTCCCCGCATGGTTCTGAAAGAGTCTCAAAAGCATAACATCTCTGGAGATTATTCTTTCATAGAAGAGATGATAGGTTTGAAATGGGGTTTACACTCCCTTTACTCATGGGGATTTGGGTATTCACAAGGAAGGAGCTGTAAACACATTAGCTATAAACACAAACATACACAGATTAATGACACACAA